TTCAAATTTGAGCCAACAACACCCAACATGTCGCAACACATCGCAAGACGGTGGCCAAACGCACGCAACATGTTGCGCCCAACAATGTTGCGATATGTTACGTTGACATGTTGCAATCGTTTGGCCGGGGCTTAAAAATACGTCAATCTTTTCAACACTAGTAATGTTGACTTTAGCCACTGCTAATCCTGAACACTATTAACAAAAACTGAATTCAATATTTCATTTGAGAAAAACTGTAAATGGTAAATTTTGTCATAACATTGTCAAAGTTTACTGCGGAAATTGCCACAGCCATTTTGACAACGTTATGACGCAATTTATCGTCAATTAAGAGGACAGACGCATAAAAAACTGACGTTAATTTGTTAATTTGATGAAGTTTTGCTGGTTTTACCTGAAAATGCGCATGTTAGTTACCTAGCCTTTAACATTTCCAGCTGTGTACCCATTTTTGACCAAGTTTCCTTCACTGCCATTAGATTTGTCAACGCAAGGACTACCATTCCTGGCTTAGAAATGAACATTTCCATTTGTGACACGATTTCCTTCACTGCCATTAGCTCGGTCGATGCGAGGGCTACCATTAAATGCTTGGGAATTAACAAATCTAACTGTGGACCCATTTGCAAAACCATTCTCTGCTCTACCCTGAGCATCATCGACCTGAGGAATACTTTGGGGACGTTTGCAACAGGCCATGTAACTAACCACGCTTAAGGCAATTGCAACCACACAGAAAAGTACTATGAACACCGTGGCCAGCACCTTCCAACTTGAATTCGTGTCGCTATTGGGATTGGCTGAAATAGAGAATAAAAATATGCAAATTTCAATGAAGGTTAAAGACAGAAAATGTCTATACTCTAGATCGATTCGGATTTTTTTCCTCGATAAAATAATTGACATAATGCTTCGCCGCGATGACTCTACAAACTTTAGTTGAAACCAGCGGAGAATAATGTCAGCCATTTTGGACATTTCGCTAACTTGGCTCGCTTACCCTTTGAAGATTAAAAACCTTGAATGAACGTTCTCATGGTGGAAACCTTTGTTTTATACCTAGCTATTATCAGCTAAACTAATCTATTCAGTCCTCCAAAATATAAGCGGAAACTCTTGACCGGCAATAGATTAAAAGATGAGTTTAGTTAAAGGAGGTCGCGTGCTTACATTATGCGTGGAAAGGACCATTCTCTACATTCTGCCACACCAGTTATTCCACTTATACGTGTAAATACTGTCGGCAATAAATGTGTATATGTGAACAATGTCGGACTTTAACCATCGCTATCTCTAGCCAATTTCTGTTGTCAGTGATTAATGCTTTTTTTTTTAATTTTTAGCTCGAACATTAAATTAGTCCTTGAGCTACTTAGGGCATTAATCTGTATTTATATGAAATTGTTTATACTGTTGTACTTAAATTAGCACTTATTAAAAGAAAAATATTTACAGAGATGTTGGTCAGTATAGGTAATCGTAATATATAGATTTAGCCAAGCCTAAAAGCGGAGCTCCTAAGGTTGGGGGTTGTTCAAAACCAGATAAAGCTAACCCAGGATAAGCGACAATTTAATTTGAGTTTTGTAACTTTGCTGTGAGGTTCTTTGTATATTGTTTGGCCTTCTGTTTTGAGTTTGAATAATCTCAAAATGCACAAAACAAAAGTAGTGAAAAACATTTGCATACAAGAAAAAATTATTATTCGGTTAATTTTTTATCCTGGATTAGCGTTAACCGCCTTCCGAACAACCCGGCCCTCTTTACAAGTTGACTTGACATGAACCCTCGATCCAATCAAAAATCAGCATTTGGTCGGCGGTCAACTTCAAAAAATACCTGACCTCGATGATGACCTCCTCCGTCGTGGTCGCCCACGAGCAATGTCGCTAGCCATGATAAACATGAGAAAATCAATTCATGGGTTTCCTTTCTTTCCTATATGAGTATGGGGCTCCTCTTGAAAACCGAAAAATCAGCACTTGGTCAGCGGTCAACTTCAAAAAAACACCTGACCTCGATGATGACCTCCGCCGTCATACGCGCCCACAAGCAATACCGCTAGCCATGATATACATGAGAAAATCAACTCATGGGTTTCCTTTCTTTCCTATGTGAGTATGTGGCTCCGCTTGGCGGACCTTCGGGCCGCCGGAGCTCCGCTATGAATGCGAGTGCAATTAGGGATTTACACTAAGAGTAATGTTTGAAAATTCTCTCAAAATTGTAGGAATAATTTGAAAGAATTTCTCGAGCTTTCATGCTGGTACTCATTTATTATAGGACTGAGAAAATTACGAACGCGCGCGCACTGCAGTGGAAATTAAAAATTAACCATAAATTGGCCTGATATCAGCCAATCATAATGAGGTAATTTTGTCAGTCGTATATTACTATTACTAATCAATCAATCAATCAATCAATCAGTCAGTCAGTCAATCAGTCAATCAATCAATCAATCAATCAATCAGTCAGTCAATCAGTCAATCAGTCAATCAATCAATCAATCAATCAATCAATCAATCAGTCAATTAGTCCGAAAGACTCACCCAGAACTTTTACTTTTATTGTAATGCTAGCATTCCCCAAGAGGTTCTCTGCGGTGCACGTGTAGTTACCATTGTGCAATTTGGTAGCGTTCTGGCGTATAAACATCGGATCGATATTCATTCCCTTCTTGACGATGTCTTGATTATGGTACAAAGTCACCAAAGGGTATGGATACCCATGAACCTTGAATTCTAACATTAAAGGCATTCCTTCAATGATTTCATGGTAAATTGGATTCCTGGTGTTAATTTGGGGTTGTTCTGTTAAAAGATAAAAAAAAAAGTAAAGTAACAAGGTCAAACCCCTATTAAGCGGCCACCTTCATATTAAGCGGCTACCCGCGCCGCTATTAAGCGGCTACACCTTATTAAGCAGCCACCCCCTATTAAGAGGCCAGTTGTCAAAGTACCAAAATTATTGTCCGTGAAATACTGCAAATAAAACCCCTATTAACCGGCCACCTCTAATAAGCGGCTGTGGCCACCTTTTGGTCGTCCCGATAAGGGTTTTCCTATGAAAACGGCCACTCAAAATTTAATACACGTTGTTTAGCTTTGCATTGGAAAAGACGATGACAGATAAAAGTCCAAAATAGAAAGGTAGGCCTGGTAAAAATAACATTCAAACACAGGTAGTGAAAAGATTAAGGAGATCCAGATTTCAGTTGTTGCGACAGCCTTTCTTGCTGTGTAAGTGTCAAATGGGGGCCGGGGAGAAGGGCAACGAGAATAATCAATTTTGCATGTTCATACCTCTACCTCTATCATTTGTATTAAAGATTAAAGATTAAAGATCATGCTGCTCAAATTCGAAGCCTGTTTTTGCACTTTGTGTAATAAGTTGGTTTTATTAAGTGGTTTAATAAAATTAAAATAAAATTTTATTAGGTGGTTTAATAATTTTAGAAGGAAATCAGAAAGAAAAACTTGACTCCTTTTATTGAGGGCACGTGCACCAATTGTAGCTTATGCATCTCTTAACCACGTTTACAATGGAATTTTATCACCCTCCATCTAAAATTATAAATTCTCGAATATTTAAAACGAAAAATTCAAAAAATAAATTTTAAACGATTTTAAAACGATTGTAAATTTTAAAACAGATTATTAACATTCGTAGCATCCCTATTTTAATTTTTTTTTATTTTTTTGTAGTTGGAATGTTCTTTTAGTGTCCACAATTAGCTAATATCTAGCTAAACACACTGACACTTAAATAAAGTTCATTCATTCATTCATTCATTCATTTATACATTCATTCGTTTGTTCTACTTCCCAGTTCTCGTAAGTATTACGTACTGTTGTGTAATTGTAATGTTAGCATTGCAAGTGATGTTACTATTAGTATATTATGTTACTATTGGTATATTATGTAATGTTAGAGTAGTAGTATACGAAAATGAAGCGGTTTTTTAAAAAATTTAACGATAAAAAATTGCGATAAAACATTTCGTAAAAGCATATTAAAAGTTTGTTGACGACGTTTCGACGTTTGGCTAACGTCATTATGAAGTCAAAGAGTAAATGATAAAAAATGTTTAAATACTAAAAATACAATAGGTGAAACAAAGAGTTTTGCGCGAATGGAATCAGTCTGCGTGTTGAGACTAGGATTGCGCCCCAATTCCGCATTCTAAAAAAGTGCCAAGGAAAATTTGATTGTCTTGTCTACGAGATGCTTTTCATCAAGGAGCGCAATCCTAGTCTCAACACGCAGACTGATTCCATGAGTTTCTTAAATGGCACTCAGGACATGGTTGTTTATTGAATTTGCTGGCTCTTGAAAACAAAAAAATACACACCTAATCCCAACTGAGAAAGAATCAATGAGAATGCTAGGATTTACCTCAAGACTACCTTGCCATATAACAAATAATTTAAATCGCCTTCAAATAACTGAGCCTGCATCAGAAAGTTTAAGACTTTAAGACTGTGATATATGTATATCCCTGGCACTGTGTCTGGTGGATAATTATGGTACTGTAGCTAGAATACACACCGTCTTCCAACTTTTGGTTTCGTCCTTTACCCGTGC